TAAGCTCACATACAGAGATGTTGCACAATGTATTTTGCAATACTGCTATCTTCTTCTGAGGAGTACTGCTTCTCACATGTTTGATTTAGTAGAAAAGCATTTAACTAGCACTGTGAAGCTCCCAAGTGAATATGCCCTTTGTCTACAGATTGCTGGCTCTATGACTTATCATTTATATAGGCCTGTAAAGCCACATTTTATAAGCAATGCATCAAAGCAGGAGATAAAGTTCTCTCAGTAGAAGCCAACTACACTATCATGTGAAAAATGTGCTTTGATAGCATGGATGGGCTCAAAGTTATGATAGAATGCATTTTTTCCCCACGCCACTCAAGCGTTTATTAGTGTCTTGTTTATTTAAGTAATCTATTGATCATCTTTCTGTTAATATAGAGCTTTCTTATATAGTTGTACCATTGATCCATGCTGCTTAGTACTGTCTGTTCTGCCATGTGGTGACTCTGCAGGATGTCAGGCACAGAAAGTTCTTGAGGACCTGAAGATGCCAGGACTGATCCTGGCATCTTCTGTAAGCATGTGCTCTACCACTGAGTAATGACTCCTCTCATGCGCTTAAGGTGATGTACAAAAACATACAGAGAATGGTGAAATATAATATATGCAGAGTCTGCTGTGAATGTTTTAAGGTCTGTTTTTAAAATTTATTTTCAATAAGAATGCACAAGATCCCTATGGTAATACAACCGGAACATGTTGTGGATATTTATAAGAAAACTCATGTTTCCATAGGAACCAGCTTTCTTTTACATTCAGGCCTCCAAATCTGCAACTATAGAACCTGTTGGCTTTTTATAATGGCAGTGGAACAAAGGTATTGATCCTTGAATTGGAGGTCACTAAGATCACTTGTATAGATTTTTTTGCCCCAGCTTGGATGCTGTTGGGAAGTGTTTGGGTTTTTTTCCTGCTTCCCCACAGCACTGTGGTGCTTCTATGTACCTTCTGAGTTTTCAGTCTTTCCTGTGATCTTTCTCAATTTTCCTTTGCTTTGCAAGGCTGGAGTGGCATTCATGTTGATGGGAAAGTCTGTATTTTCCTGTTCCCAGTCCCATTGGTCCCATTTCCCCATCCCTGCTCCCCCCAGAGTGTCCTTTCTTCACCCCCACCCACTGGAGGGCTTTAAAAAAAATGACAATTGAATATCGTGATAGCATTATAAAGTTATAACAGTCTACCTGATTTCATTTTTTTTAAAGTAGGTCTTTAACCCTTTTTTATTACAGAGGTATGCCTTTCCCTTTATATCTCCATAATGAAAAAGACAGGAAGCTTTTTAAAAAAAAGATGAAAGTTGGGAATTCAGTGAATGTGATAATTGGCATAATGATATTCAGTTGCCAATTAAAAAGAAAACACTGAAAAATCCTCTGGTGGAGCAGGGGAATGGCAGCTGTCAGGGAACTGGGGTAGGAAAAACGTAGGGGAACCTTCCACACAGAAGCCCTTTTGCCACTGCAGTGTATTGGCAGTCCAGCAGCAATAGGGAAACCACCCAAGTCCATCCCTGAGTAGAAAATACCCAGGTCTTTTCAAGGAGAGCTTTTCTCTAGCTAAAATGGAAGCTGAAAGAAGCTTTTAAAGATATGGTATTGTTTTTAGCTCAGACTTGGCCAGTGATTAATCATGTTTTATTTTTTCCTGTGTGCACTCTAAATGATTATGTTGATAAAAGAATGAAAAGGGATTAAGTGGTCACCTAGTTCTGCTATTCAAAGCACGGCTATGTACCCATGATTCATTTACTTAGATTTCATAGGGTTGGATCCAGCCAACTTTTTCATTCAATCTCACCTAATCTCACTCCTTACTATAGCTGCCACCCTGCAAGGCTTTTGTCCAGCTAGGGAGCATGATCCCCAACATCACCTTTTTAGTGGTCAAAGGAGACCTCCATCTCCCTTTTTCACCAGTAGAAAAGCTGGTTGGAGCTAAAGGTAAAGGTAAAGGTTCCCTTGCTCGAAAGCCAGTCGAATCCGACTCTAGGGTTGCGGTGCTCATCTCCGTTTCCAAGCCGAAGAGCCAGCGCTGTCTGAAGACGTTTCCATGGTCATGTGGCCGGCATGACTAAACACCAAGGTGCATGGAACGCTGTTACCTTCCCACCGAAGTGGTACCTATTTATCTACTTGCAATTTCTTGCTTTCGAACTGCTAGGTTGGCAGGAGCTGGAACTAGAGATGGGAGCTCACTCCATCATGCAGCACCCGGGTCTCGAACTGCTGAACTACCGACCTTCCACAACCTGCAGTTCAGCGTCTTAACCACTTGAGCCACCGCAGCTCCACAGCTAACCCACAGACAAAAATTCTTGGGTCAAACTACACAGGATGCTGGAGTTGTGATATTGAGGCACCTGAACTGCACAAATTGTGATATTGAGGCACCTGAACTGTGAAATTAAAGTTGTTATTGTTGTTGTTAATTTGATTTATTAATCGCCCTATCCCAGCTTACACCATGCTCTGAGTGATGTACAAGGGGCAAATTCTGTAAAACAATATACACATTTTAAAATATCCATGTACAGTTGCTAAGAACTAAAACTAAAGTAAAATGATCCAAGGTGGCGACTTACACATTTCTGAGTACTGGTTATAAACAATAGCAACAGTATGGTGGTGTTGTTGTTCAGTCACACAGTCGTCCAACTCTTCGCGACCCCACAGACCACATCACGCCAGGCCCTCCTGTCTTCTGTTGTGCTCTGGAGTTTGCTTAATTTCATGTTCGTGCATCGATAACACTGTCTAACAAATCTCATCCTTTGCTGTCCCCTTCTTTGACCTTCAGTCTTTCCCAGCATCAGGGTCTTCTCCAGTGAGTGCTCCCTTCTCATTTGGTGGCCAAAGTATTTGATCAGGATCTGGCCCTCCAGGGAACAGTCAAGGTTGATTTCTTTTAGGATTGACTGATTTGATCTCCTTGCAGTCCAAGGGACTCTCAAGAGTCTTCTCCAGCACCATAATGCAAAATAATCTATTCTTCGGCGCTCGGCCTCCCCTATAGTCCAAGTCTCGCCGCCATACATTACTACTGGGAATACCATTGCTTTGATCATACAGTATGTTAGTACTAGTATAAATCACCATTTGCCCGATTTCCTAGCTATTGTTGACTAAATCATTAATACTGCCTGTCCTTACTTTCTTCTGATTTTCTGTAATCTGGGATCAGTTTTTGTTTCCTGGTGTGGTTAAATGTATATACTCAGAATTTTTAAAATGTATTTCATTGATGACCACAATGATTCCTATATGGTACCCTTTATTCAAACAAAATGTGATGGGTTATCAGAATTTTCAAATTGACCAGACCTTCTGTTACAATTCTTTTTAAAAATTCTTTGTTGAAAAAGTGTTCTGTGAAATTCACAAAGTGGTCACAAAAGCTTGTGTCACAGGATATTCATTAGTCTGTCTGTCGTTTTGAGAATTTGGGCTTTTGTATATATCTGTACATTGATCTCTGGAATTAGTGGAAATTGTGTGGTAGACGATATTGTATTAAGTTCTGACCGTCTTCTTTCCCTGTAGAGATACTGGTTATATGCGAGGGAAGTGTGGTTCTGCTCTAGCTGCCAGTGCCAGTAGATTGTTACGCTCTAACAGAATACTATTTCATTTTATCACTTTCCAAATCATCTTCAACCTCTGCTCTAAACTTGGACCCTACCATATTTATTTCTGACCGTACATTTACACGTGGGAAAAGAACAGTTTGGTGTAGTGGTTAAGTGTGTGGACTCTAATCTGGGAGAACCCGGTTTGATTCCCCACTCCTCCACTTGCACCTGCTGATGTGACCTTGGGTCAGTCACAAGCTCTGGCACAGCTGTCCTTGAAAAAGAGCAGTTTCTGTCAGAGTTCTCTCAGCCCCACCCACCTCACAGGGTGTCTGTTGTGGGGAGGGGAAGGGAAAGGAGTTTGTAAACCGCTCTGAGACTCCAAGTGAAGGGCGGGGTATAAATCCAATCTCTTCTTCTTCTTCTTCTGTGTGTTTCTCTCCTGATATTAATCTGAATCTGCAAATATTGTGGGTTTTTACCTTTTTAAAAGCGTAGTATTGTATCTTATGCAAACTTTGCAAACGTTGCAGTAGTGGATCTGCAGTTTTGTGCATATATATTATATATAAGTAGGTAATGTCTGCACTAGCCATCAGAAGACACCAAGATCAATAAAGCAAGGTGATTGAACGTAGACTGTCCTTCTCTTCTTGAATTCACTCCAGACTTTTAATGTGCTCGAGTATCCTGGGACCTGATCCCATTAACAAGTCTAAAGTTGTTGTCTGAAGAGCAAATTTGAACAAAATGTAAATATTCTGTAAAAAATATGCTGTAGTTCTGAAGTTTCATCTGTACCCAGGAGAAGAAAGTTTGAACTTGCAAATAAAAGTTTTCCTATCTCTTGCTCTTTCGTTGTGTCCCACCAGTTTAAGTGAAAACCATTTTTTGTAAAGCTCAACTGAGATCTGTATTTTTTCAGATCGCTATCTAGTATTGCTTTTTTGAAGTCCAGTAATCCTTCTGAAACAGATTCTGGCTCTTAAATAGTTAACATGATTAACTGGAATGTGGTTTACCATTTTTGTAAGTCATGTGAACTATGCCTGGACTGTCCACACACATGATAATTAGTATATCACTGGGAATGTATAAAATTAGAGACATCTTATGTATGAGGGATTTCATGGAGCAAGTTAAACTTTGAAGGCTATTAAGTTTGCAAGTCTTAACATGGTTCTTGAAAAAAGGGTCTTTTTCATGTATTATTCATTACATAATCCTTTGCTCTTTAGTATCAGTCCATCTGATACAGAGCATGTTAAAAATATAAACATGTATGTCAGAATTAAATTTTGATTTAAAAAGTATCGTCATTTAACTTTATTGCATTAATGTTTGCTTTTAGGAGGTAGTCCCTCTTCTCCATTTCACAGATGCAACTACTTTATATTGTGTCTGCTTTTGTTTTCAGGTGCAGGAAGTGGAAGAAAGCATAGAAGAGATGTTAATAAGACTGGATGAGTTCTGCGGCATGACTGATATGGTATGTGTTTGCTCAACTCCTGTATGCCTTAGAGACTGTAACTGTGTGTGTTCTCTCTCTTTCTCTCTCTGGCTCCTATGGAGGCCATCTTGTGAGTGATTTAGAAACCATGCAGCTCAGGCAAGGCAGCAGCAAGCCGTGGTGGAGAGAGGGAGTGAACACGAACACACGCACACATACACACACACACTGTCTTACTTCCTGAGGCAGCCATCTTGATAACTACTTTCCCTGAAATAGTTTTTATTACAGAGAGCAGTGATGGTTGAGCCACAAGGTGGCACTATGGTGTACTAATTTTTAAGGGCCTTGGCTTGTGCTCTGTGCTTGTAAATTTCATGTGCTCCACACATAGACCCCCATGCGTGTGTGCGCACACACGCGCACGCACACACACACACACACACACACACAGAGAGAGCTTGGATCCAATGGTTTTCTCAGCTGCTTAAACGTTGCAAATAAATTGATATTGGTTTTTCTGGGTTTTGTATGTTTTCTTCCTCTGGGTATCTAGAGAAGATGAAGTCTCATGCCATCTAATTTGTAGCAGCCCAAAGAGCATTTCAGGAGAATTTTCTTACTGGAGATCTTGTACTTTTTATCTGAAGGAATAAAGCACATTCTCACAAGCTTCAGCTCTGTCATGTCATGTATATTGGCTTCTTTCCAGTTGGTGATCTGAGATACGGGATAGGTTGAACAGTATTATTGGTAATAGCATACTCCTCTGCATACCACATAAGTAAACACATTTGTAAAAAAAAATCACAAAAAGTTTAATGTAAGGCATATCCTTCATCACTACTATATATGGCAACGTAAGTGGAATTTTGTGCTGGTACTCTTTTAGGAGGTACTATACAAATACATAGAGAGGAAATGATGGAATGTATCGGCTCAGACTAGGAGACGGTGCTGTAATGTCTCTTTCCAGGTAGGTACTAAATATTTTTGTAGTATGAGCTCTATTTTGAAACAGTAAGTTCTGTTTTTCTTTAACTGCTATTCAACCTAACATTAGCGTACTTACCATTTTGATTCCACGATCTCGATAATTTTGCTATGGCAAGTAGTTTCTTTAAATTGATTCTTATAATACTATCTGTATCTTAAAATTATATTTTAATTTTTTTCTACAGGTTACAAACTGAGAACAAATCTTTGCTTCCTTTTAAACCCTCCCACAGTTTGAAGTGCTTTATCTCTTTTTGGCATGGTTTTCAATGTTATTTATATAAGTATGAGAGATATAGTGCAGTCATAAGCAGAGTTATACCTTTCTAGGTCCCAATTGACTCCAGGGGACTTAGAAGTGTATAACTGCATACACAATCTGTTTTGGGGGATTTAATTACAAGTCAGCATTCTTGGGGATCCACAGATTCCATGGACTGTCTGAAGCATCTGTAGAAAGTGGTGTGTGTGTGTGTGTGTGTGTGTGTGTTGCCCATTTAAATCCCACCCTATCAATGCACAGTAAAAGCTTTGTTATCAGCGTTTATGGGGAACGGGGGTTGATGAGTAATCAAATATGCCAGATATACTAACTTATTGTTTTGTCCTGCCCCTTACCAAGAAGAATCAACAAAATCCCACCCTATTGGGAGTGCCATGATGATGGTCCCCATGCCTAGCAGGAACTTTTCCCTGCCTTCCTAAGCCACAGAGCCATCCTACACAGCAGGGAGACAAGCAGACCAGCTGCCCACTAGTCCTCTAGCAGAGCTGGCTTCTTACAGCTTGAGGCAGGCTGAGGGGGAGCGTAGGAGAATGTCAGCTGGCAGTCCCAACTTTCTTGAAGCCCAGCCGTTTATTTATTTACATATTTTATAGTCTGCCTTTCTCACTTAGGTTTAAGGATTACACAGTTTAAGTCAACACAATCAACATAATGGGACATCCAGTAAACAATGCAATTTGATTTGGATTGCAGAAATCTGAAAATAAGCAGAAATTTAAAACAAAGCATAACCATTTGAACATGGCACGTTAAACAATTTACATAGTTGGAGCCTGGCAGGATTTACATAGTAGGAGCCTGCTTGCAGCAACAGACAGTACACAGTAGTATATGCCACAGTCCTCAAGCCTTTACCAAAACGTCTTTCTGAACCATTTCATGAATCTGGCCAGCTGAAGAACTGGGAGTGGAGTGTGAATGTGCCAAAAGATGCAGTGGTATTGTGGCTGAGGAGCTTGGCCTTTCCATGATGGGTATTTACTGAATGTTCTGGGTAATCAAGTTACTTATAACAAAACTTTTTCTGTACTTTCTTTGTTGAGCAATCTCAGATACCTGTATTTCACTCAAGGGCGTGGAGTAGTGTTTAAAGTGTAAACTAGAATCTAGGAGACCCAGGTTCGAGTCCTCACTCTGCATGGAAACATGCTGGGTGACCTTGATCCAGTCATACTCTCTCAGCCTAACCTACTTCACCGTGGTGATGTTGTAAGGATTAAATGGAGGAAAGGACAGTGGTGTATGCTTCTTTGGGTCCTCTTGGGGAGAACAGCAAGGTGTAAATAGCTAAATTAATATACATTTGTTATAAAGGGCATATCTTTCCGTTTCAAGTACTGAACTTTTCACACCAAGTTTATGGTACTGATGCATTTTGGAACTTTGAGAGCCACTGAAGAAATACTCTCAATTTTGTTTTTTATTTTGAATTACTCGTAGGGTGACTTTCATTCAGAATTTTGTCTGTACTTAATCTTTAAACAAGATACATTAAGTTGGCATTATGACTGTTTAAATGTTCAAAATTACTTGGCCTAGTCCAGTAAACTTTCAAACCTTTCTGAAGATGTCTGTCTCAACAAACCTGTTTTGTAGCAAACACTAAGCTAGCATTTTGCTTTTTTGCTTGCTTCGTCTGTGGTTTAGATGTGGAAACATTCTACAACCTCATGTGGCTGTGAATAATTAGGTTGTATACGGATTATTGACCTTCTCTGACAGCATCAAAATGCTGTGCTTAGTCTGCTGAATTTGTGCTTTGCAGAGCTAAGTACCTGAAATGGTAGTGATAGTTTCCTTCCAGCAGCGTATGAAACTGTATCCGAATCTGATAAAATTTCATATCATCTTCAGATTCACTTGAACTCTTGCAGTAAATAAACCAAATTTATCTTTGTTGCCGTTAAGAAAATAGACGCATTGTTTCAATTACTGAGTCAATAAAACATTCCACAAGAATCTGCTTAACTCCTTTCAACATCCTGCTCTTCAGGGTTGGTTAACACAATGATTTGACTCAGTAAATTTTTATGTGGATAAATTTGTACATATTAATTTGTGTGATACATGAAGAATCTTAATTTTAAATATTAACAATATTTTGGCAAATATGAGGCTGAACTGAAAACGGAATGGCATTTTGGAAAAGAACACTGTTACATTTATAAAAGAAAATTAATCACATTAGATTTTCTTTTTAAGGTCGTACAGCTTGATCTAAAGAAGCAAGCATCTATATATCTAATAGTGAAGTGGCCCCGTCTGTGCAGATATCTAAATCCGCACTTCGGGGGCACCCGGGGGGGAGGGAGAGGTTTGTGCACACGTGGGGCAGTCCCCACATGTGCACAAAAATCCTAAATGTTGGGGAAAAAATCGGGGGGATGTTTAAATCCCCCCAAAACTCACAGAGCGTCCCCTGCGCATGCGCAGGGAACGCTCTGCGACTGCTGCCGCCGCTTGGGAGGGAA